AGTGAGTTGCACTGATGCTTATGGTGCACTTTATTTTAAATAACGATCAAAATTCACTCTATTATGGAACAGATTAAAACCCATATTATAGCACATATCTGCATCTGCCCACCTGTACCAGCTATACCACTCAAAGGCAACATTAAGACGTTCAAAGATAAAAATGCCACACTCATCTCACTCGTCTTTGCACATTTATCTATTTGGATGATTTTAGTCTTGCTTAATTCTCCACCAGTACAGGGACAAATGAAGTGTTTAAAGAAATCTTTGTGAAACATAAAACTAGCACCTCCAATTACTTTAATGCTTATTTACACAGGCCTAATATCATTAAATTACCTCTGTGGTGAAGATGTACTGAACACGTAATGAGCACTGTAATTTATACAAACCACTGACTCCAGTAAACACTAGTCATGTGCCATGAGGGTTTTATTCATAATATTTATCAATTCAACTTCTGAACAGTAGGGGTGTAAGAAAACATTGTTTGGCTGCATAAAAAGTAAACATTTTTTACTCAGATTTTATGAATATACTATTTAAGTTTTCCTAAAATATATATCGCCTTTCTTACAGTATCGCAATATAGAGCAATATCATGATTTATAACATCTGTATCGTGATACGTATCGTATCCCCAGATTCTTCTATGCCCTAATGAACAGCATAGCTATAACAACTATGTTCTTGAAAGGCTCAATAGATGATCTACTAGTTTGTATAGATTGTAAATCTGGATTAATGGATTAATATTCTGTCTGTCATGAGAGTAGCTGCAACAAGATCACCTCTAATCTCTAATCTTGCAATTAGCGTAATTTCTGAATAAAGTCTGAGAATTTGGATGGAACCAGTAACTAGTAACCTATCTCACTGAAGGTGGTATCAGAGCACCTTGATTACATTACTGAAAGTAGATAAACAAAACACCGAGAAACACGATGCTGCAATCTAATACCACCTAAAAATGAACAACACACTTTTTTGACTTCCATTGTACACTTATCAAACTGCCATGTCATCAGTACAAATAAGATCCCTTTCAGCAGGGCTTTTCAAAACACTTAGTTGGCGTAAAGTGTCATGAGACACAAAAAGAAAGTTGGCAAGGTCGATACTGCATATTGTTATTGGTGTATCACATGTCCCATTCGTGCCAGTGCCAATAGACAACTTAATCTCTACATTCTACTGCTAGTAGAGACTCCAGTCTGCAGTGTAGTTAGCTACAATTTACCACTAAACCATTATTTTATTATGCACGTTTACATAACATTATTACCGGTTAAGCATCCTTTCACTTCTTTTGCACAAACATATACATTCTTTCTCACACTTTCTTCAAGGAGTCAAAGTTGAAGAATTAATTATAATTCTATTCAGTTTACAGCCCTGGTCACCACAAGAGGAAAGAAGCCTGTCATGTGTCTAGACCCAAACTTGACCCACATCACTGTGTCAGTCTGAATATCAGTAGTCCAAGGCAACCTTCACATACACATCAATCATAATGCAGTTAAAGGTGTAGTCCATTGATTAAGTATTACATTTCCATAAAGTGGACTCACAAGAGAGAGACTGAAGAAAGAATAGTGACAGCAGCACACTCTCAGGTCTGACATTTTAATGGCTAGTGTGGCTCAGGCTTCAAAAAAGTGTAAGCCTAAATTACTCAAAATGCCATATTTTCCCTGGCAGGAGAGCACCAACATATTTGTCACTGCATGTTCCCAGTTAGTAACTTAACTGTTCTGTTGAAGCAGAGATTATTTCATTAGACTTGACGAACTCCAGAGCCACAGAAGGCTTTATACAACTGTTTTCACAGGCTGTGTAAAATTGGCAGTGCAGTAATGCGAGTGAGGTGCAGCTTGTATTCTGAATATGCAAATGTGATTATGCTCATAATGACTCAGATGCCAGTGTCATGAAAGGGCCTGTGAAAACTGAACCATCCATGACTCTATCAGTTTTCCCGTGGCAGTATGAACTGCTGAATGAAAACATATCATAGACGTTCTGTTACTGACATGCTTCAAACTCTTGAATGCTCTTGAGGCTACAACATACTTCCTGTTCTTCCAGCAAACAGCCTGCTAGCAGCTATTTACTGAGTGGTGTGTCTTGATCTCAGAAAGCCATAAATACATTGAAGTGGAGGGGGTGTCTTCAGCCAATAACTCAGACTCTGCTCCCAAGCACTGAAACATAAATATTACATATAAATACGATCCTGTAAGCAACTCATTAGCTATAACTGGATTGTTTTATGTGTATCTGAATAAATCAATGAGTAACAGGCCATTTAATCAACACTGTGTTTCTGGTAGCAAAATTAAACATGTAAAGCGGTCAACAGTGAGTGCAGATACAGTGACAAAGCAGCAGCATTTATGGGGTGATGGGTTGCACATGGGCAGTGTGATGTGACATGTGATTTTGATCCTGCCCTCCGCTGCTACAGGGCACAGACCGTCTTTTCAGTGTGCCTGATTACTGCTGATGTCTAATGAACTGAAGGAGAGGTGTAGTAGGAGTGCAGTGAGGAAGTGTCAGGGAGAAGAGGAGTGGCATAAACACTGAGAGACACCTGCAATGTATAAAGAGGGAAAATAAAAATGGCAGCCCATCAAGTCCTCTACGACTGTCTGAGGAGAATGACTGGAGTTCAGAAATGTCACTCTGGCGGAAGGATGGGTGACATAAATGAGGAGGGCAGTATTCTGTGATTGGTAAAGACTGCTGAAAAATGCCAAGAGCAATTGTTGCATGTTAAACTCTTCTAGGAAGAGGCAAACAGGCACTAAACTCTATACTATACTCTATCAGATTTCTAAAGCATCGTACACATATTATTCTCTTTTACACTGGCATAATTAAAATGTCTAGGGCTGAAACGGCAACATGTACCGCCATTGGAATTCAACCTTAGACATGAGATTCAGTCTCTCATCTCCACTTTAATTTTCACATACTCATGGGGCACTGTGAATCCAAGGTCTGGAGTGTGTGTGAGGTGCACACATTCTCACTGTATGTTGCTCATTCATCAATACCAGTTTACGTTTCAGGGATGGTATGTGCATAGTTTTAGTATCATTTTTACATCTGGCCGCAGGTGTTTGATAGGAGCCTGACATGACTCCACTGATATTCCACATATGCTGTCTGTCCATATATATACTACAGTAGAGGCAAACCATGCAGAACCTACCTTACATGGAAACTAGTTTTTTATGGTTTATTTGAATGATCGATAAATTCTGTAACTGAGAGATTACTGTATCTTTCAAAAGCATAATGACATAAACAGACAAACTTAAGTCTCCTCTTTGTAAACACATACTATACATGGATCATTGGAACTGTAGAAACCCAAACTCCATTTAAATTATGTTTCTTGGTAGCCACCAGCTGCATGAATCATGCTTAGAAAAGAACAGTCTGCATATTCATCCCTATCAATAGATTTACCACTTCAAAATGACTTAAAGCAGGTAATCAAAGCTGGAGGAAAGTTCATCATAGGTTAAAAAGTTGTAAATGTGTGTGGAAGGTTTATGGAAACTCCTATCTGAAATGATGGCGCAACTGCTGTACTTCAACCTATCTCACTTGCACAGTAAAAAAAGTAGGCAGAAGGGTGTGAGAACAAGCAGCGCTGGAATGTCACAACTCCTCTGACTGCATTAAATGTCGATTCATACTGGGTGTTCACACTGCAAACAACTTGGCTAACAAGGGAATTACAGTCTGCAGCTACAGACTTTTTACATTTCCTTTTTTTTAGCATTTCACTGGATTGTCACTGCGAGCTGTAAAAACTAGCTGTTTGATAAAATATTAACAGGTGCTTACTAGGTTGCACTAAATACATTATAGAAGGATGACTGCTATTATGTACTACTACCCTAAGTGGTGTCCAATCCTGATAATATCAGGGTGATGGAATACAGTTTGAGCACATGTAGGCGGCTGCTTCAGTGCAACTCTTTTCATTCTTTTAGTGAAAACACATCCTTGCTAGCACTTTTTTATACCAATGACTATGTAGATTGGACTAGTCTCCGCCATTTCATTTGTATTTTGCTGGCTAGCACAGAAGTCACTAAGATCCAAGATTCTGTAGGGTTTTTGTTGACAGAGAGCACAGATTTAGTGCAACGTGAAGAACTGCAAGATCACAAAACAATGCACAGAAAATGTACAGAGACAAGACACATAAACTCTAACAACACCAGTGAAGCCAGAGGCAGGCGGCTAACTTACTCAGCCGTCCATCTGCCAACACCTCACCTAAAATGTCTGTGTAACTCAAAGAAAACTATCATCTGTGGCTCTTGGAGATGTTACATGAGTGACTCACATATAATTGACTCACACATGACTCATCAGGTCTCCAAAGCCAAAGCGAGGATGTCTGCAAGTTATATTAACTTCCTTTTTGCTTTGTGTTCTAAATGCTTCGTCTGTACGTGAGAAAGTCTGATTGATGTTCTCTTCTGTTACTCTGTATGTTGACAATCAACTTACATTAAAGACTTAAATCTTTAAAAAATATTTATATTTACAATGTTTTTTCAAACTGTTGTTGGTGTTGCTTATGGACAGGGTGGAGTAAGGTTACAGGTATTTAGGATGTGTTGTTTCCTAAAACCAGATTCCTGCAGGCTTCTCATTCCTGCCTTGGCTGCCAAGTGCCAGAAACTTTGCGAACGATTGCGAGAGCTGGCCTGGTTTCTACAATTCTGTCTTGCCCCTTCATCAAACTTTAATTCTTCGTAACCCGCTCTACCCAAGCTTGAATCCATATCTTACTCCATGTAGTCTAAAGTCTCAACTGCTCAAGAAGATGGATATTAAGCAATTATGAAACAATGCCTAAACTAAACTTCTGTGCAAGTGAACTATATTAATTCTTAATTAGCAGTTATTTCAAGTCAGTCTAGACAGTAGTCTGAAGTGCATACAGCGCAGTAAAATAAGGTTCACACCTTTGAAGTAGCTCTTGACCCTCAGGTATCCCACGCTGAGGCGAAGGACCGACAGTTTGTCCAGACGAGAGCGAATCTCATCAGAAAAGGGCAGGAGGTCCGTCAGCCGGTCCAGCTCCCCGTTCAGCCGATCCCTGTGGCGCTTCGAAGGGTTTGATTTAACAACTTCATTACCTTCAGCGGGCTTCTTTCTGTGGAGCGTAAAAAAAATCAGAGCCGGTTATCGAAGTGTTAAATCTGCAGAGATAAAGACGGTTGACCTTGACTGATTCAGTGCAGGCCTGGCTAACCGGCCCTGCCACAGCATGCCATCTGATGTGGGGTGCAGTGTGATTCATGCCAATTACATGTGAGCCATATTAACTTTAGCAACAGCTTCAGAACTACTAAGGGAAAAAAAAAAAGAGACAGCCATATATGCAACTAATAAACACTGCGGTTCAGGTGAGTCAGTATTACATACAACTCCTGTGATGAGCACAAGATACAGGAATGCTGTCAGAGCCTCACAAGAGCTCTAGTTGCTGATTGCACACAACAGGATCCTCATTTAGGCTGAAACTAAATAACAGTATCTGTGAGACTGACCAGAAACTAAGATGGTGGAACAGAAGCTAGCTTGGCTCTCTATAGAGGGACAAATTGACCTGCCTAGCCAGATGATACAGCACCATGCAGCACAAAAAGCTCTGCTGGGCCCACATTTTTGACAACTGAAGCTGGGGCCTTCCAACAGCACTGCCATTCTGAGAGTGTAGCACCAGGAATCGAACACTTAGTCTCAACGGGACATCGACTGAAGGTTGAGCAACGTAGAAGCATTAGAGGCCAAGCATTAGAGATGTATGATGCACTTATTTTCAGTTCTGAACCGATACCTGAATTCAGATATCTGCTGATACTGATGCTGGCTTTGCACACACTACAAGTTGCTATCTTGCTTTTCTGTGTTTAGACACCAAAATATCTCCAAACTAAGGAGAAGTGATGGGAATGGAGAACTGGTTCCAGTTGAGAACCAGATTCCTAGGCCACCAAGAAATTCCTTTTATCAATGCAAGCATGTTTTTCTGACAGTTGTGCATGATGTCAAACTCATGTATATATGCTGCTGGAAACTTAAAAGAAGAAGAAGGAATCATGGAGGAGAGGAAGACACCATATTCAGCCTATTGACAAAGAATCAGACCGATAGGCAGAATCAATAATGGTATTAGTATCAATAAAAGGCCCTACTAAGGATATGTTGAGTTCGCCAACTGTTGCTAGCTCACTCAGTTGCCGACCACCTCGTGTTATGTTATGGCGGGTTCATGGTCTAACACAAGCTCCGCCTGTACGTTTAACTAAAATATGGGGAAAACTGGATATTTTTGGGAACTGTTAAACAATGAAAACAAGGAAATCTGCAGCACTTGACAACTACCTAGCTACAGTAACTATCTGCCAACTTGAAAACAACACAGACTGGAGTTTTTGTCGAGGAAACAATCTTCGGCCCAGAATAAAATAAAGAGTACACCAGCATGCAAAATATACATCGCTACCACAAGTCATTCCAATGGCTACTTATGTAGTTTGTCAAAATGGAAACCACTTTTTTACCATGACAGCAGCTTTATTTTCTCTGCTTGACTTTCACTTTGGGAGCAGCCGTGTTTGAGACCACCCATGCTCAAGTGCAAAATACAAACTAACTGGATTTTCTGGAGATACATGTCATTACTCACAAATCAGACACACATGCTAGACTGGGAGTGAGACCAAGTGAAAGGGGGCAATGGGGACGACACACAACACCACTGTTGACATTCCTCCACTACACACCTGCTGAGAAATACACAGACTGAAATTATGATAGTACAGAGATAGATCTGTATTTGATCACAGCATCTCACATTCATGACTTATTAGATCAGGGGATCTTTATACATAAATAAACATCCCGTAAATAGTGCTTGATGTGTCACGGTCGCAGTTCTCTAGCGGTTGGTCAGGGTCACAGTTAGAGGCAGTCTGTGCAGGACCCACAGTTCATTCTAATATGATTCCAATAATAGATGAGACATGGTTACTATCAATGTATTGTAAAAGCTTATGGATAACTTCTTAAGCAGTAGGAGTTTTTCCCTGTATATATTTAGGAAGAGGAGCCAATCAAACTGGCCAATTCTAATCACATTATCCTTCAGCGTCAACAACTTATCCAGGTCAATTATCACCACGGCATATCTGCAGTTTCAGGCTGCAAATTCTCTACCGTTCCCTTAATTTCTCTCTTTACTGAAACTTTGGTTAATGATAGGCTATAAAATTTCCTCCTCTGCCACTGAATAGTCCACAGGGAATGCAGCCTAAACTTGATTGCTGGCTTCAGACCCGAGCCGTACCTTCTCAGAGGAGCGGGACTGATCTCACTCTCAAGAAATGCCTAGCGGAGACAAAAGCCAGCATTCAGAACTATTTTTTCCACCTTGATTTGCCATGGATCACGGGGTTGAGCAGCAGACATCAGGACGTTAATTGTTGGAAAGGGGGATGTTTTACCTCATCCCTCGATTTCTATTTGAACTCCTTATCTCAAGGGCAAAAGAGTGGACATCTGAACCCAAACAACTCTGTCTCGGAGTGAAGGCAGTCTGCCATATTGACACTGACATACATTTGTCTGCTAGAAGTAGGTGGAGCATCTGTCAGATCCAAAAGGATGACTCTGGCTCAAAAGTATCAAAAGCGTGCTTTCTACACACGTTTGGCTGCTGACAAACACAGACTGCAAGTTTGGAAGTAGGATAGTTTACAAAAGCAGGCTCGAGCCTACAAAGAGCTTTCCAGACAGGGGAGACAATAAAATGTAGAACTTGTTCACTCCACAGAAAAGATGGGGAATTCTGCTCTCCAGTTGCATCAAACAGTGCACAACAATACAAAGAAGCAGCACGAATGCGTACAAAAATCAAGAACAGATACAATATAATCCAGAGGAGCTTCGGAGCTATTTAGGGGCAACAGCGTGACACAGAAGTAGTGCATTCAGGAATGTTCTGGACAGACGAACTATGGATGTGGAGCAGCGTTTGAAACGTGTGTATACATACAGCGGAGAATTGGATGCAGAAGTTTCTATGAGAAGTGAGAAGTCCATTGAAAGCACCATCCTCTGGGAGGGAGCAAGCCACAAACTCTTCAGAGCCAACTTTCAAACACTGGCTTCAGGTCAGGTTTACACCAAAGTGTTTAAAAGCTCTGGGACTGGTTTGGGCTGAAATCTCTGGCCTGAGTAATACTCTGGGAAGCAACTTCTTCTGTTGCACGCCACGCTGGTTGCTTCGATCTTGTTGTCAAGCATGCAAAGGGTTTTTTAACTTTTAAAGATACCGCTCTACTGTTCGCGGGTCTGGAAAAAAAAAAAAAAAAAGAGTACCCGGCCTTTGTTTACATTGCATTCATTTGGCAGACACTTCAAAGCGACAACTCTTTCCCGGCACCCGCACACATCAGGAGCAATTTGGTTCAGGGTCTTCCTTTAGGGAACTGCTCCAACATGTGGACAGGAACAGTCAGGGATCAAACCTCCAACCCTACTCTTACTGGCCTTCTATCGTACCAGCCCTACCACCTGAGCTGCCTCATTTGTTTTACCCTGCTCCACCATGCACACAGACATGATGAGACATTAATTGATAGTCTAACAAAGCTTCAATATAAACAACAAACTTACAGTAATATATTGTTAGCTTTTAGCAAGGCACACTCATCATTTGGGGTTTATGTCAAGCTCATTTGCATTTTCCTATAAGAGTGTTACACAAAGATTAAAAAAGTGTGTTTGCTGTTTATGAGGACTCTTTGAAAATGAAACAAAGGGCAAAGAACAAAGGGCAGCTTTGTTGCTTACTGGGAGTGTTTTGGTGTTCTGCCAAAGCTCTTATCAGGACGTCTGCCTGGAAGTGTTTCTCACAATAACTTTACATTACAGTGCAAAAAAAATACGTGCATAGGTGAGACACGTTATCCCTTCTTATTAAGGAAAAAAAATAAATGAATTGGGGCACTTACTCAATATAATGTCCACATAATCCACTTGCACATTCACACACATTACTGCTGTACTCTCTGGGTGGGGAAGGGGTTGGGGGGACGGGGTTAATGAGCCCGATGCACTATAATTAACTCACACTTTCACGGCCACCTGTAGGAATGCTGCTACCGTTGAAAAAGAAAGGACAAAGCTTGTGAATGTACAGTCTGTGTGGTTACTGTGTATTCAGCAGTGCTGCACTGCAGGTACACAGAGACCATGCAGCAGAAGCATTGCAATCACTGTCGGTTCTCGTCCTTTAGATGTCAATGTGGGAGACTACAGTTGGGGTACAAATATGGGCTTGTGACACAATGATGGTCACCAGTTTGGAATTTGTGTGTTTGCTTTGTTTTCGAAGTTAAAGCACATGACCCAGTGTTTAAGCAGTTGTGTGCATGAGGACTAAAAATGGTTGCTGTACGAGTGGAAGACGTGTCCTCTTTTTAAAAAATGCTGCGCAGAATAAACTTTTAATAATACGGCAGGATGCATGGCAGAGGGAACTGGCAACATGCACAGAGGGCGTTCGGGTAATAAAACAGAGAATTTGGATGGGCAGATCTGCCATGGAATGCCCCTGTGTAGTGACCACAGCTTTTTACAGTCGGGCTCAATGGTGCCTTTGTGCAGCTGAGCCCAGCTGGCCGTCCAGGAAACCTCAGTCCTCATTGCACAGTCCCACATCTTCAGAAACACAGACGTCTGCACACAGGCCACCTTTTTATTTTGGGATTTACACTGGGAACAGCCTATTTGCCAGATCACTATAAACAGATGTATCTATACTACTTTTGACTCATAGTGCATCTGTGTTCAACAATATGATTTCAAATCACTGTTATTAAAAGTGTTATAACTGTTTACATTACTCACTATGTAAACAAACCTTCACCTGGATTTGGTTTGTTGTCTATTGTTAATGCCTGTATTAAAAGAGATTAAGTTAAAAGCAATCGCAGGAACCAGTCCTGTGTTTTGGATTGTGATGAGGGGCAAGGCCTTTGGTTTACATGTGGAAGTGCCTTTAATTAACAGTAGTCGGGTGTAACTATATACTCTTTCTCAAGCTCTCAAGTCCAGCATGGTCCAGTATGCAACTTGTACAGTGTGATGTAGAAACTTGAAGCCACCAGTGCACATCCACTGAGAATGGACTTTACAGTGAAGTAGGAGACATCTTGTGTCCAGCAGGAAAACTTTAGAAATCAACACTTACATATTCAGAGATTGTGGAAGGTTTAATGAGGGAGAAGGGGGAGAGGATTTTAATGTGGAAATGATACTGTTTTGTGAGTAAAAAACATATCAAGCACATATTATTGTTTCAAGCAGACAATTTGTATATATGTCTTAATACATGTCTGGAGGGGGTCTTAAAGCATGAAACTTTGGGTCAGCTGATGAATTCCCAATATTCACTCTCCAGTTAGCTCTATTTTTGGTCTCCACCAACTCTTGAGAAACATATTCAGCTTTTCAGGAACTAAATGCTCCACTGTGTTTACCGGCTGGTTGCTAACTCTGTCTGTGTGACCCATGGATGTATAAAGAGAACTGGATACAGTGTTGGAGGCAGCTCTCAACGCTGCAGTTCACTCCTGTAAAAGCTGCTCAGAGGTGCAAAAAAGCCACTTACCGCTACAGAAAAATGACCTGCATGAATGGCCACAGTGGCCCATAGAGGATGCCGAGCTGGCTATCTTACTTGGTTGATATATTAATCATTTTTGTGTTTGTCTTGTGAATCCTCTACGCTGTAAAAAGGTTATTCCAAGTGAATGAATCAAATTCTGATGGTGAATCGAGTCACTTGCTTGGAAAAAATCATCCACTGTAGTACAGCCCGTCCTTTCACAATGTAGCCTTATGAGAAAAAGTCTTGTCAGGCCAGTGTGCATCGTGATGGATGTCATTCCTGTAGTTCCAGGGTCCGGCCACTATGTCAAACTGGCTTCAAAGGCCTGCTCTCTGCCTGGGGCTTGGTCTTGCTGCTCCACAGGTAGCGTACAGTTGGTTTATCAATATTTTTCTCTATTTTCTGATACTTAATAAACAAAACCATTATTCAGTTAACACTTGTTGCCACCCCACAACACCAGACAGCCCCTCAAAATAGTGCAGTAATGCAGTAGTCAGACTGACTCTGGACCAGCTCCAACATTAAAATGCTGCTGTATGTTGTCACATCAACACTGGAAAGAGCCAATGTCTGAGTCTCTGCTGTTGTTATTGGTACTTGTAACTAACTGTAAAGTCCCGGTTTGCTGGGAAATCAACTTTATAAAGTATACGGAGCAAGAGCGGGGGGGCAGAAGAACAGCACACACATCACACAGCCAGTACTGATCCCAAAACCATGAAGCGCGAGGCCGTATCAGATTACAATAACATACTCGGAGCCCGCGAGCCCTCGCCTCCCCCCGCCCTCCTCGGAGCATCGCGTGAGAGCAGCAGCCGACTCTCCAACTTGATTGTGATTAATGCGCGAGGGCAAGATATCCATGCCAGATCCAAGAGCTAGACACATTCTTAAGGTAGTCCACTAAAAGCGCAGAACAAACCCAGACCCGGAGTCACTCGTTATTCTGGCGAAGGTTGCTTTTGAGTTATATACCTATAGGAACTTGACATCGGTCGGTTTATGTCCATTTTCTCTCTACTTTGTGCTCACCTTCTATAACTTATAGCACAGAGCATTAGTTAGGCTATCGCAGATGGCACATTTACTAGTCAATGGGAAAGCTTTATCTTTAATTTAATAAAGATAGCAAGTTTCTCATATAAGAATTAACCACAAGTGTATAAAGTAAAAATTAAAGCTCTTAAGTCACCACTGTGTTCAGTGGAGCAGTTAAAGACATGTCTTACTGTCTGGGAGCAGGCTTCTTCCTCTTCTTGTTAGCGTAAGAGTTTCCCAACATGGTGTCACTTCGTGTAATGCTCAAAAACTTGACGTTAGGCTAATTTTTGTGCGGCTCATTCACTCCTTCGCTACAGAGGCTTCTTCCTTCCATACGACGACAGAGACAGTCGGCGGTCCGTCGTTTGTTCAGCCAGTGAGTCAAAGTCCCATGTAAAAAACAAACAAACAAGAAAAACAGCCGGGGTCCGCGCAGGTTTGCTGCCGCGCTGACAACTCCCGTGGGCGGTCACTGCCACTGACCTCGGTCGGCGGTGCGGCGAGAGTGATCCCGTAGACCGAATGCTGCTGCTCAGCTCTGAGACCTGGGGGGGAGGAAAGGGAGACTTCGAAAAAGTTTGGCGTATGATTGAGCCTATGTCCAACCCCCACCTCTGGATAAACAGCGCAGCCTTGTTATTATTATAATTCAGAGTCACTGGAGTTCGCTGCTTTTCTCTCGCACGGGGCGTTTTCAGGAAATGTGTATGTAGTCTGTCAGAGCTGCGTTTTAAGGTGGACTGGACTCTTTGTGACTGTCAACTACAGTATGCTCGCTTCTGCTTTTGTAATATGCAGATTGTGTTGGGATTTTTTTTTCGGAAAATATGTTCTTTGGGTGAGTTTTCTGGCCACAGCAGGAAATATAATGTAAAACCTCCCCTAATAGCTTCCATAATATATATTACCATGTTTTTGTAACTCCCTATAATCTGGCTCTGATTTCCACTATTACTGTATGCAGTTGTAAACCTACATTTAAAGCTATACTTAAGCTGAATATCATACAGTACAGCAGTGGTGCCCAACCTTTTTCCTTAAGGGACCCCTCTTCTATCATTTAGTAAACTGACGACCCCTGATTAAATGACATATTTTATATATATATTTCATTTTACATTCCGAACTGTACAATGAACCTAAACAGTGAATTCAGAAACTGCAAGAAGTTTGTGTAAACGAGGGATTTGGATGAATTCTGAGCAGATTACTTTCTGTTTAGGGAACATTTTATACAATTCTCTGTCTGTATTATGTATTTTTTTATTATTTTTTTTGTTAAGAATCATACGGACTTACTCGGCTACGTTTTTTGACAAATTCAGTGTTTTCGTGTCCCTGACGTTTGGCCATTCTTCTGTTAGACAATTAATTGACTTATTTTTCTTCACAGAAGTGAACCAAATGCTGAGATATGGGCCTACTGTGTATATTTTTTAAGTTTTCTAGCACAGCTTAAAATCAAGAAGGCCTCGCTACCCCCTAGTGGGGCTCCATACCCAACTGTACAGAGCCCAAAAAACTAACACATAACACAAACGGCCACAAAGTTAGTGTGGGGTAAGTCAAAAATATACATAATAATGGTGGCTTTTCATTTTTAAACTATGCCCCTGTTTCATATACTCTATTAAATGGTTGAAACTATGTCACTCAAACAAACTATGTGGACACCAAGACATTAAACCCATATGTGATTTAGCATCTCATCCATTCCTCTCTGGTTTCAGGACTTCCAGCAGATTATGGATTTGCTCCCATTCAGCTAGAAGAGCATTAGATGGGCCACTGATGTTGGTCGATGTTCCCCCTCCAAGGTGTCCAGTGGGCTTGAATATCTTCCACACTGAACTGGAAAACAATTTCTTTACAGGCCTGGCTTTGTGCATAGGGGCATTGTCATGTTGAAACAGGAAAGGGCCTTCCCCAAACTGCTGCCACAACACTGGAAGAACACTATTGTCTCAACTATCACTGTGTGCTGCAGAATTAGGACTTCCCTTTAAATTTCTTGGAACTAAGGAGCCTAACCCAAATCATGGAAAACCGCCCTATTGACCGAAAGCATTCAGATGTATGTAGACAGATGTGTCCACATACATTTAGACATGTAATGCATTTCTAAGCAGGTTTTGAGCGTGCAGTGCAGTCACATTGGCAAAATCAGTCCGCATGCATACACAAATTCTCTTGAATTTTGAATGTGCAGTTGATGGACACTATGGGATAACATTAATGGGAATCAATGTTAACATCTTGTGCTGTCATGAGCACAAGCCTCTTGTGAGTATGAGTAGACCCTTCTGCACGGTTATACACAGAAAGAAAGTAGTTACTGCATGGAACTGCTCACAACAAGGTCTGTGGATTATCCTGAGTACCCGGGTGATGACTCCTGGAAAGAACATTGCTGTTGAGTTTTTAAAATGTATTTTTTTGGCTCTTTGTATACCACAAGCCAAGTGCCATCTTATTCCATTATATTGGAGAGAGGGCTGTAGAGATGTCGGATCTCCACGGCTGATATCTCCAAAGCAACTCACGCCAAAACAATCTTCTAGATAAATAGCATAACAGTGAATAGGGAAAATATGTATTTTTCATTTTGGGGTGAACTGTTCCGGTAAGCCCGCCTTTTAGCATTTATAAGCAGCATTTAAACAATTAATAAATGGTTTATAACACACTCTAATGCAGCACTGTCTCTTGTTATTGGTGACTCTCTTAGCAACTTTATTTCTAAAAGGCCAGCAGCAGGCCAGTTATTTTTCCCCATTGGGGCCTCCCTTTTTTGCGAAAAAAACCAAAAAAAAAAAAAAACAATAAAAAAAACCCCCTTTTTACAAAAAAAAAAAAAAAAAAAAAAAAAAAAAAAAAAAAAAAAAAAAAAAGAATTTTTTTTTTAAAAAAAAAAAAAAAAAAAAAAAAAAAAAAAAAAAAAAAAAAAAAAAAAAAATAAAAAAAAAAAAATTTTCTCCTTAATAATTTTTTTTTTAAAAAAAAAAAAAAATTTTAAAAAAAACTGCTAATTATTCCAATTTTTACTATATGTAACTGTTTTTTGTATCCTGATTAGGTAACTCAGTTACATGTAAGCTGTTACTCTCAAAGCCTGTTGGTAGGTGTGGTAAAAGTCAGTAAACAGTACGCAACCAAAACAACAAGTGTAGGGGCAGCCACTATCTCAGGGGGAATCACAGACTATTCCTTTAATGTGAATTCAAATGTCAATAATGTCCTGGAAACAATGTCCTAAATGTGTCATAGAATTGTGGGAAATGCACTTAAAAAAAAATATGTTTTTGTCTATGCATGGTTACACCCTTGAAATGTATAAACATTTAGCATGAGGTAAAGTGTTACCCACTATTATCCCACAATGCCATGCATGAAGGAAATGCATAAAGCTGCACACTCAGCTGCCAGAATAGGTGCTCCTAGCTAAAACCAATGCAGTCTAATACAACAGCCCTGCAAAACACCTTACCACCATGAAGGCTATAATGTTTCAGAGAGGTGTTGATTCAACTCTATGATCAATTTGGAGGCTGTTGAGCTATATTGTGTTACACCGACGGGTGTTTCTATTATTTTGCCCGCCCCATTTATATCAATGAGGGTAGGCCGAATGACACTAACACCTCTGTGTATAATTATTTTGCACAGAGAGGTTTTGATCTTCGTTTTTTAAAAAGCAGCTTTCTAACATTGATGTTGTAAAGGTGAGTTTTATCACCTCACCCCACGTCACTGACAGCTAGAGGCATGTTGCCGACAGTTCCCATGGCAACCACTGACACCCTAAGCTTTCCCTGTGTTCTTCTGTAAACAGCAGTGTTTATCTTGTGCACTTCCTCATAACAGCTGCCTGTCATGTTCACGGGTTGGTTCACAATCCCTGCCTGACATTTTGTTACTGGTTCAAATGAGGAAGGCACTTTTACCTTGAACCACAGCAGGCTGACCCTGTACACAAGAAGAGTTATGTCCGCTCTCACATCGTGTATTTCTTTATTTGAATTTTGTGTCACAACTGAATAATCCCACCTCTCAATGCACGATTTGATTGTTTCTGTTTCATTTGGTGTGTTCAGTGTTTTTACAGACACACTGTTCTTGTTTGTGTCACTATTGTCAAAACATGTGCAATTGTTTTCCAATTTGCATCAGAATGAACAGAACAACTTGAACACAAACACATAGGAACAAACTTCTAAAAGAGAGTTGACTAGTAAATCATTTCACTTGAATGAACAGTTTATTGTATATTTGTGTGCTGGTTGGTTAAACTGTGAAATTTGGATTGATTTGATACACACATTTATTATTTGACACATGTCTTCATCACCGCACTCTGTATGCCACTAATCATTCACACTTACATTGTTGTGGGCATTTATCACCAGTGCTAATCTGTATGTAATCATATTACTCTTTTTCTCAATGATGTGTTTGATTTCCAGTAATTATTGTCATTTACTGCCTGATGAAAATGGAAAATTACTACATGATACAGTATTAAAACAGGAAGTTTATTTTTGTCTTGCCTTGAAGGTTCACTGTTAGAGCACAGGGCAACAGCCTCTGCATGAAAGGTTTATGAAGGACAAAGCAGCAGAAAGGGAAAATACATTCATTAATACATTATTTTGTACTTGGATTTACATTTTAGCTCCTGTGTGTAACATTTAGGAGGATCTATTGGCCAAAATGGAATATAATATTCATAGATATGTGACCTTAGAATGAGCCGTTTTTATCAACAGAGGGAGCAGGTCCACTTCCATGGAGTCCACCACCATGTTTCTACAGTATGGACAAACCAAACACTGGATCTACATAGAGCATTTGGCGAGTTTTGCAGTCACCATACTTTCTTGCTTGAATAAGGAGAGTGAGGCGAGGATGTTGCAATCAGCAATTGCACCACTAGATGCCACTAAACCCACAAACTGGTTATTTAAGTTAACAATATGAGCATACAATATTAAAAAATCAGTATTTCTCCGCCGCTGTTCGGCTGACAAACAATGTGCTGGAGGGGCTGCGATTCGAGCGGCTGCTAATGTTAGCTTAGCTTGTTTCACTGATAACTTAAGATCCAGATGTTCGATGACTAAAATTCTTCATCTGGTTCAAATACAGAGTTAAAAACCACCTAGATGTGTAGTGTATCATACAAATGTGGCTTAAAACTGAATAAAAAGTCAATTTCTGACAACTACAACACTGACAAATGCACAAAGGGCATGTGACACCATTCATAGAGTTATCTGAAATAACAACAACTACATATATAGGTCTAGTGTTTATGGACATTTTAATGCAGAAATGTTACATAAATAGCTTTAAACATTACCTTGGGTCCAAGTCACAATCATCTGCCCACGGCTGCAAACTCCACAAACAAATGATCAGAAAACATGCTCATTGTGGTCATGCTGGTGGAAAAAAAAGCCACTTCCTGCAAGTATAATGGTGAGAATACCTCAACTCCTGGGGCCAGTTTCACAAAGAGATTTCAGACTGTGGTCTGTAGTGTTAGTCTTCATGTTGCTCTGAGTCTAAAGCACTTACACAAAAATGAAGACTGACTTCTTTTAAGCCTAAAAAGTTTGCTAACCCTTCCCTGCAGGCTAACACAGAACTAAAGCCATGTTTCCATGGTAACAATCAGTGGCGCTAAATGACACAACATGTCTCATAATTTGTGGTTTTCTTACAATGTTGTGGAGCGAGTAATGAGGAGGGAAAGGGGTTTTTGAGGCCGCAGAAACCTGTTGTGCTGTTTGTGAAAAAAAGTCCTAATTTACCCAGAATTCATTAAGATACTTAAGAACTAGACAGCTTTGTGTGAGGGATAAATTTAGACATCTGACATGGCCATCTCCATCCGGCTGCTCCCCAGAGGCCTAGTTAAAGCTGACCCAGCCGCCCACAGGCTATGTGCAGTGACAGAGACCCCCACATTGAGCGGGATAACAAAGCAGCCAAGCATTGCGAGGAAATGGGAATATGGCAGCTGCCGTACCACAGAATTTGGCGTGTGGTTGCTGGTGAGAGCTGTGCAACTGTTCCCATGCGCTGAACCCACTCTGCACGCTTGTTTATTCGTCCCCGGTGCATTCCTGTGTGACAGCCACCGGTACATGGTCATCAGCACCCAGCTCAATGTCTTTATTTCACACTAACTTTAGAGCAATGCTTTATTCAGCCCAGCAGTGGTTTCCATTTAGGACGGCCAGCTACCTCACTGCCTTTTATTGTTCTCCACCCACTGCATAACTTCCATTAAACTTATTACGACAATGTTTTTTACTGTTTTGATTTCATCATTGGAACGGTTCAGGCTGTTCAAACGGGCGCTCAGAGACAAAGTATTTGAAGCTGAGCCTGGGACACTTTCAGGTATGGGTTAGAAATCTGTGAATTATTTTTTCCTTTCCGCTGAGCAAGATTTATGGGAGCTCAGCATTCCCAGCAGGTAAATAAATATGTACAGAACAATCAGTGGAAACAATACAAATTCTCATTTGACAAAATTAGTTTTCATTTTTAAATTTTAATAATTAGTCTAAATTATTTCCTTTGCTGATCACTTTCTAAGTCAACTAACATTAAATTGATCGGCAACTATTTTGATGAATTGTCGTTGAAGTCCTTTTCTTGAGAAAAAAACACCCCAACTTCTCAAATGTGAATATTTTCCTGTTTCTTTATGCCAGTAAACTGAATATCTTTGGGTTGTGGACATTTGAAGGACATCACCCTTGGCAACCTTGGAAACACTGACTAACCCCATCCCCAACCCTAACATTTTTCACAATTCAAACAACTGATTGATTAATCAAGAAAATGAGTGACAGATGAATCAATAATTAATATAATCATTAGTTGCAGACATATCACAGTTAAGACTACATCAAATACATGGGGCATAAGTCATAGTTATAGTTACATATATATATATATATAGATATAGTTTTGCATGTAGTCCTTCCTATTAACTTTTGTGGGGAAGCGTCCACATACCACGCATCATGAGGTGGTTAACTTGTGAAACAGTCACAGCTTGGTTAGCTTTAGGGAAAAGATCATTGTTTGGGTTAAAATAAGTATGTTAGTTACGTCTCCTGGGTTAAAATGATGTGTTTGTGTTGTTTGATACTATCTATACTATACTATTAATTTTGAGCAGGGCATTGTTAAATGAATACCATCCATGGCACACAAGCCCACGCTGAATGAATTAAAGGACCAGTGTGTAGGATTTAGCGGCATCTAGTGGTGAAGTTGCAGATTGCAACTAACTGAGTATTACATATGTCTGTATTTGACGACTGGTAATGAGAATGGGCTGTGAAGTATGTAGGAGAAACTACGGTGGCCACTGGCTGTAGCAAGGTGCTATCTAGAGCCAGTGTTTGGTTTGTCTGTATTGGGCTTCTGTAGAAACATGGCAGCCTCAGTAGAAGAGGAACCGCTCTCCTTAAAAAACAGCTCATTCTAAAGTAATGAAAACACAATGATTCTTATTTTTAGGTGATTATTTGCTAATGAAAACATACCTATGAATATTATATTCCATCCTCCTAAATGTTACACACTGGACCTTTAAATGTAAATAAATTGACATTATGTTTTATAATTTTAGATTTAAATGAATTTAGATTAGATAGATTTCAGATATAA